CTCTGTTTGASTGGGATGCACATGGTGGCCCCACRCCTGCTCCCAAAGGTGCCAGCTGCCCATGGCAAGGCTGTCCTGTGTCCCTGCTCCCTAGGGGGSCACTGACTCCTTCCTGCTGCCCATTTCAACTTCGCCATGGTTGGGCAAAAGCTGGTGGAGAGGTACTCTCTGCAGTGGCTCATTGGGCTTTTTGTTAAGGGAGGAAATGCTGTGTGATTTTGGTTCTAGCTACRGCAAGGTGACCTTTGGCTCAGGGACCRGACTGTCCRTCCAGCCCAGTGAGTGAGCAGMTTTCYTGTGTGTCCTTTGTCCAGAGTCCTTGAGTGTCCACTGGAGAGCTGAATTTCTTCATTTCTGCCTTGCCCTTGGTTGTTTTGAGGGCCACAGTTTTGGGAAAGTTGTCTCCTGAAGCTGGTGTCTGGGTTACTGGGAAGGTGGGGCTGTGCAGTGACCCTGATCCAAGGCTGAGTCCAGGCTGTTTTTTCCATCCCTTTTGCCATTCCAGTGCGAGCAGTTTTGGGGTAGGGATCCTAAAGTGTTCCCTGATAACTCAGGGATAAGTTCTTCCCATCTCTGATGTGTTTAGTGACCATCATCAATTGCAGATATTCCCTGGGATTTGAACAGAGAAATGGGATTTTGGCAAAGAGAACCGCCTTGAAAACCCAGCGCAACACCAGTTTACCCCCTGACCTCAGTGGGAAACCTTGTGCTGTTTTTGGAKTGAAAGTGCTGTGTGGTTTTTGTTGGTGTGTGTGAACCCAGCATCCACTGGGAAATCGCCTCTGGGAATGGGACTAAACTGGAGGTGAACCCTAGAAAGTGGAAATGCAGCTGGAAGGAGTGAGAGCAATAAAGTCCCATCCCTTACGTGGAGAAAACCAACTGGGCTGTGTTGGAAAGTGCTGAGCACAGGGATGGGTTGGTGCATGGCAGGGGTGAGGGACAGAGCAGCCAGGAGCAAGAAGGGTGTTTTGGCTGCTCAGGATGTGCAGGAAGGGCTGAGAGAAGAGCTCTCATTTTAGGGCCCAGTTCCCAGTGCTGAGTGAAGAGCTGTGATCTTCACTGCCCATCTTTTCTCTCCATGGCACAAATGTGCCCCCAGGGCTGATCCCTGCGGAGCTGAAAGGGATGAGCAGCTGGAACTGTGTCACAGAAATGCCCAGGCAGCACAGCACAGCTTTCCAGGGAATCAGCGTGTGAAGGGACTCAYGGGGTTTTTGTTGTGAAGGCAAACACTGTGTGACTGGTTTTGGCAACAAGGTCACCTTTGGAGCTGGAACTCAGCTGAGAGTAAATCCCAGTAAGTTCTAAAGCTTATTCCTGCTTCACTCTGWGCAACACTTCTGCGGTCAGCAATGAGTGAAGGGAAGTGGAGGGAGAGGGATTCAATCTGTGGGGAATTTTGCTGTGTTTTCTGTGGCTACAGAAGGTCCCTGACACAGCAAGGCCATGAATTTCCTCCTTCACTGACCCCTGCCAGCCCCTGCTCTTCCTTTCAGCCGAGCACAAAGAGCTCCTGAGCCCTCTTGCTCAGGGATTGACAACTCATCCCGTGGCCATCCACCCCTCTGGAAACTGGGCTAGGATGCTGAAGGCTCTGTCTGGCACAGCCCAGGGAGCTGCTCCTGTGCTGCCCAGAGGAAAGGATGAATCCCAATGCTCTTTTTTGCAGCACAATCGCAGCTGCCATCCCTGCTGGGGATCAGGCTCCCCAGAGATTTCCTTCCAAGGCTGCAGTTTTTGCTGCCTTCCTTCCCAGAGCTACTGTTGGTTGTGAGGAGCTGATCTCCTGGAGACTCCTGGAGGAGCAAAGGGCAGCAGAGCTGATGGTTTTTGTCAGGCTTTCAAGGACTGTGTGAATACAGGGAACTATAGACTGCTCCTGGGGACAGGGACACGGCTGGCTGTGAAGCCCAGTGAGTACAACCCTGCCCAGCCGGGGCAATTCCTGATCCCTGGGATCCCTGTCCTCCCTTCCCACCTCCCTGAGAACTTCCCTTCACCTGACTGGAGCAGGAATCCCTGGAATAGGAAGAGAATCTGCTGATTTGGCCCCTCTTCCCCAGCCTGCTCTCCTCTTCCTCAGCAGGTGGATCTGGCTTTGGGCTGCACAAAGTGTGCYCAGTTCCAGGGACAGCCACGGCTCTCAGAGCCACCTTGGAAACGCAGCCACACCCAGAGCTGGGCACTGTCCATGAGGATCCTGCAGAGGAGCAGCGTCCCCTGATTCTGGGAAAGCTGGGAGCTGCCTCTCATGGGTGATAAAAACCAGGAAAGGCAAAGGGAATTCCACTTTTTGGGAAGGATCTGGGGAAGAGACGTTGCCTCGTTCCAGGGAATGTCAGCAGCCCGGAGYCTGTTGTGGCAGGAAGCTTTGCTGGCTCTGCAAGTGCTTTGTGCCGGAGATCAGGTGCAGGAGAGTTTTTGCAAGGCAATGTGTCAGGGTGTAAATGTCGCAGCCAGAGTCTCTTTTGGGAAGGGGACGCGGCTTTCAGTGCTGCCAGGTGAGCAAGCCCTTGTTSTGGAAAATGGAATTGCTTCATTTCTGTCTTGCTCTTGGTTGTTTTGAGGGGCAGTTTTGGGAACCACAATGTTTGCAGCCCTGCCATTCCCCAGGTGTCCCTTGCATTTGCTTTTCCCACATGTCCCCCTGCCTCCTGCTCTGTCCCAGCACTGAGAGACTTTTTTCCAGAGACTCTGGCACCTGGAAGCATTTCCAGGAGGAGGATTTGATCCTCTGAGGGTGTGCTCTGGCCATGATAATGACATGGTGAGAGTCCATCAGTCCAGAGGGACAGGGGGGAGGTTTAGGAGAGAGAGGCAGATGGATGAACTTGTGCTCTGTGACCCTGATCCAAGGCTGGCTCCAGGCTGTTGTTTCCATCCATTTTGCCATTCCAGTGCAAGCAGTTTTGAAGGCAGGGATCCTAAAGCGTTCCCTGATAACTGAGGGATAAGTTCTTCCCTTTTCTGACGTGATTAGTGACCATATACAAATGCAGATATTCCCTGGGATTTGATCAGAGAAATGGGATTTTGTCAAAAATAGGCCAGAGGAGATCTCTGGAAATGTGTGTGGGTGTTCAGAGCCTCTTTCAGGGGCAGATCCCAGCCCTGCCACAGCTCCTGAGGGGAGCTGGAGGAAGAGACCCATTTTGTAATGAGCTCTCACACAGTGTGACTTCTGGAAATTGGGGAAAAGTGACCTGGGGGAATGGAACCAGACTTGTCGTGGTCCCAGGTGAGTTGTGTCTCCTCTGAGCCAAGGTGGGCTCAACATAGAAGTGTTGTGCCCCACTGCACAAAGAGCAGCACAGGGGCTTTGTGGTGCCATTTGGGGTGGGTTTAGTATCCCTGGGGAGAAGGGGGACAGTTTGTGCTTCACCAATGTGCACTAGAAATGTGTCCATGCTGGGGAGAAGATGTCTTGGAAAAGTGACAATAAGCAGGTGAACTGTGAGAGCAGTTACGTGTAAGAAAAATACCAGATTCCTGAGATTTGGGAACCCCGTGGAAAACTTCAGTCCACTCAAAGCCA